AGGGCGTTTGTTTCCTCCCTGCTGACTCTGGAAGGTGGAGCTCTGGGGAGAGACAGGTACATGACAAAAAGCTGTTTGGGTGCACTTGCTTCTGACACTGCAGTGCCTGTGGCGGAACTCTCCGTCTGGAAAACTCTCGAGTGGGTGTGAGGGGAATGCTGATCATCCCGGAAGGCGACGTGAAGTTCTGTGCTGTGTGAGCACCGCGGGGAGGACGCTGGAGGGCTCTAATTGCATAAAAAGAAACTTGAGTTCTGTGTGATGATCGTGAGGAAAGGCTTACAACGAAAATAAATCAGGAAGGTCGGTCTTGTCCTGCATGCATGTAATGCCTTCTTCCCAGTCATTTTTTTTTTTTTAATTCATAGGAAAGGTTTGCAGGGAGGTTTATGGAAGACAACGTGACCTAGTACCTATGCTGAATAGGAAGGGACAGTTTCCCATAAAGATGGTGTGGACTGTAGAACATTGCTGCCTGGGTGTAAATGCTAACCCTTCCCTTCTTTAGATGCCTGCAGGCGGAATGCTAATCAACTGCTTCTCAATGCCCTTATTGGTAAAAGACATATAATAAAATAGTGCTACTTCATAGGTTCTAGACATCGGTTGATGTGTTCAAAGCATTTGAAATGGTGCTTGGCACATAGAAATCAATATGTGTGTGTGTTTATTTCTATTATTATTTTGAATGTGAAGAAGATGGTAATGTGAGTATGAGTGTGTGGGGAGGAGGTGGTGAGCTTTAGCTGGAACCAGTCGTGTATGTGTGTGTGTGTGTGTGTGTGTGTAGGAGGAAGGGGTGAGGCTGGCTCTTAGACCATCCCCCCCAGGCTCTGGGCAGAGTGTTTTAACACTCCAGAAACTGAAAGCACCTGTTGGGTGTCTCGCAAGTTTGAGAAGAGCAATTGCTCTGAAATCAGAAATGGAATTAATGTACTGGAAAGAACCAGAGGCTGATGTGAATAATTAAGCCTCTTAATGAGAACATTAATATTCTCCCCAATAGATTGATTTAGTGTTTCTCTTGCTGGAATTGTTGTATAAACCCACCTGGGCTGGCCATCTATTTTGATTGTTCAGGACAAACTGCACTGGCAAAAATAAACAAATAAATACAGCCGGTCGACCCCCTAATTTCACACTCTTCTGTAAAGTGTGAGGCAAAGGAAGCCTTGCACCCAGAATATATTGAGGCTGTGGAGCGGTCCTGAGTGGTGAAGATTTCTCAGCAGGTCATCTTGGGCTTTTGTTTTGTGTGTTTATTCATGCTAAGATGGGATTTTTTGCTCAGCTTGTGCCTCCAGCATGCAATGTGCAGAATCAGAAACAGTTGGGCCTCCCAAGTTCACTGACACCAGCTTTTTTCCAAGTATAAGTAAAACCGCTAAGTGTCATTTCAGGGAGTCTCCAAAGAGAACTGGTGCCATAGTCCTTACGTCTCAGAACAGAAAGAGTTCAGCGAGAGGCAAAGTGACAGATAAGTAGTGATTTATAATAAACAGAATAGGATGCTTGGCTACAGTTTTATAGTCAAAGGAAAAGTGGGAAGGGGAGAAGCCCTTCTTTGTATTTCTTGAGTAGACGTCATGCTTCCTTCATCAGCTCCTCCTCCAGGTTGGGCCGAAGAGTCTTGTCTCTACATAGTCAAGCTGGGTTCACGAATGGCTATTTTGTACGTGTGCAGAGAGCATGTCCCAGGGATCGATAATTTACTGAGTCCTCTGCATAGGATGCGGGTCTCATGCCACTGTTGTGTTACTGTTCGGGGACATAGCTTGTGCTTCTGTTGGGTGGTTTTGTTTCTAAGCAAGGCTGCTTGGTTTTGTGGTTAAGCAAATGAGTTTTCTTGAGTAATCATTCCTACAGGGGTCTCCCGTGTTTTTTCTACTTACAATCCCATCATGCAATTAACTATTCCATCACCTACTTTGTCTCTCTACTCTGTCCCTCTCGTAAGGACACCCAGGGGTGGGAGTGATGTTGGCTCTGCCAGCAGACCACTGGTTGGGCAGTGGGATGGAGTGTCAGACAGGACTCACCAGAGCAGTGGGATCAAGAGGAGGTAAATGTGAATAGAGAAGGGTTTTTACAAGGAGTGATTTACCCCGTGGTGGGTGCTGGCTGAGTATGTCCAAAGTCCCCCTGGGAGGAAGCCCATGAGGGATTCACGAGTGGATGAGGACCGCTGGTGTGAGCTCAGGCTGGTTGTCAGAGGCAGCCGTCGCAGGGAAGAAGGGAACCCACTGTTCTAGGAAGCCTTCTTCCAAAACCTTCCAACTGAGCAGGTCAGGCCCACAGGGGTCATCTCCCTTTGATTAACTTATGGTTGCTGATTGGGAACTTCAGTCACACCAGCAGAACCTGCCTTGTGGCCCAGGGTGAGCCTGTGGCTGGGTAACTGGGGAAAAATATGTGAGCTCCAACGCAGCTGATCCCTCTGCCCTGGTCCTCCCAAGGTCATCTGCCCTGGGGCCCAGCTAACAGGAGACATGTCAGCCAGGGAGCTCGGGCTGGAGTTCTGCCTCCCGGACTGATCCATCTACCGGCCGCCCCGGATGGACAGCAAAGGTCAAGGTGCAACCAGCTCCTAAGAGGCCTGAGACGTGCAGGTTGTCAGGAAGCAGACTAGGTCACAGGCCGGCCTCCACGGATCCCAAGCTGCATGATTTTAGTGACATCAGCACCTCCTATTTACACGCTGGTTCATGGAATCCAAGCATTTTCACAAGTGCAGTCCATTTCCTTTTTGTCTCATTTTGCTTCGAGCTGTCAACCACATTTTCAAACAGACTGTGGGTCCTACCCGCCCTTATTTCACAGGCAAAGACACAAAGGTGCCAAGGATCGGGGTGTGAGAAACAAGTCCAGGTCTTCTGACACCAAGTTCAGGCTCACACAGTTATCCGAGACAGCCCAGGACAAGACAGAGCAGAGTCCAGAGCGTCGTCTCTATGATGACTTTGCATCACTGCTGAGTCTTTCAAACAACAGGAAAGGATCCGAGGTGGTTGTGTCAGGTTATGGCCCTGGGCATTTCACCTGCGGATGAATCCTACTCCCTATAACTGACAATCTCAGAAATTTGGAAATCACACAGAAGCCAATGTTATTCTCCTGGGAATCTCCTTATTCAAGGAAAAGCCTCTAGATAACAAGCCCCATGAGGGCAGCAGGCTTTACCTTGTTTGTTCACCAGGATTCCCAGGACGCTCGGAGTAGAAGCGGTCACTTTGCCAGCATCAGTGTAAAGATGAATGTTTAATGAAGCCACAAATCCTGAATCATGAGGAACCTGTTACTGAGTTTTTGTGAAGTCAGAGCATTTGGAGTTTTACACAAACTGGGTCCTTGGGTGCAATACTAGCTTATTGGCCACTTCGTGGGCAAAATGCACATTATTCATGCTGAGCAACCTAAGAAAAACGGTTCTAAACGTCTTCAGAGACCAGAGGTGTGGTGGCCAGTGAGGCTGGAGGTTAACTGCTGTTCTGTGTTGCTTTGCTTGCTTTGGAAACAAATCTCACCGCTTACCAGTGCAGGAGTCAGTCCACCGGTCTGCTTCGCTGTTTCTTCTCTGATACAGTGGGGATGCTAAGAGTGTTTGCCTCATAGAATTATTGTGAGAATTAAAATGAGTTATTCATGGGGCTTCCCTGGTGGTCCAGTGGCTAAGATTCCACCCGTGCAATGTAGGGGGCCTGGGTTTGATCCCTGGTCAGGGAACTAGATCCCAAATGCTACAACTAAAGATCGCTCATGCTGCAACTAAAGATTCCACATGCTGCAACAAATACTGAAAATGCCTCATGCTGCAACTAAGACAGGGCACAGCCAAACAGATAAATAAATATTGTTTTAAAAATGAGCTAATCAGTGTAAAGTTTCCCAGGTGGCGCTAGTGGTGAAGAACCCACCTGCCAATGCAGGTAGCTGTAAGAGATGTGAGTTCAATCCCTGGGCGGGGAAGATCCCCTGAGGAGGGCGTGGCAACCCACTCCAGCATTCTTGCCTGGAGAATCCCCATGGACAGAGGAGTCTGGCGGGCCACAGTCTGTAGGGTCGCAAAGAGTCGTTCATGACTGAAACGACTGAACACGCACGTGTAAAGCACTTAGAACAGGGTGTGGCTGGGAAGGAGTGAGGGGGATTGTGAGCAGTGTTGGTGCAGGGTTGATGTCCCCTATTCAGCAGGATGTGCGATCTGAGGAAGAGGTGAGTCTCTTCCCCAAACCTGAGGCCTCAATCCTGTGAGAAGTCTGGGGATTGAATGCGCATCTCATAGGGCAGATGGATTCTTCACCACTAGCGCCACCTGGGAAACTTAACTCATTTTTAAAAACTATTTATTTATCTATTTGGCCCCAGTGGGGGGGTCCTGGGCTTGTGTGGGGAGGGCAGCCACCAGTGGCCGCGGTCCAGCAGGGGTATCGGGTTTCGGAACAAGGACACGTGGGGAGGGCATCCCCGTCACGAGAACCCCCCGGGAGCAAGTTCCAGCGTGGGGCTGGATCACGCCTTGTTCTCAGAGGAAGCTGGCTGATACCTCCCAGGGGTTCTTCACATTCAGAATTCAGACAAATCGCTGCTTTTTAATTAACAGAGCCCAACAACTCTGTTATCTGTCTTCTCATGAATCTATTTTCTCTAATCCCTTCTCCTCTTCCCACCCTGCCTGCTTCTGAGCTGTAATCTGCAAGGCGCTCTCTGAGGAGCGGCTGGGGGAGGAGCGGTGGGGAGGTGGGCACGTGGAGCCCAGGGTCCGCGGCTTGAGGTCGGCCGCCGGCAGGCACCCAGGTCTCTCTTGGCTGCCCCGGAGGTCCGTGACCGAGACCCCCGAGTGAAGCACGTGGGCGGGGCGTCATCCACAAGCCGGGGGTTATTAAGGATGTGGCACGACTCCCTCGACAGAGACCAAGAGGAGCAGTGTTCAGGGATGTCTCCAAATACCCCATTAATTTAAGTTTAGCAGGACAGTTATTGAATAATAAATAACAGCCAGATCAAGGGAACATATTTATCAGGGACTCATGCCCAGATAACACAATTGTGGCTGAAGCAGTGGAGAAGCCGGAGCGTTAATAGCTGCATCTCAGTGAACAAAATCCCCCGGTGATGGTGAGGAGGGCTCTGCCTCATGCTGCTGACATCCCAGGGTTCCCCCGAAAGCAGCATGCTTTGTTCAGGCAGGAGCGGCCCTTTTACTGAGAAGATGGACTCATCACCACTTGGGGCCAGGCACAGTTGTGATCAGGGCTTGCTCCGGAGCATCCCTGTGAGGTCTGGTGCTGCAGATTTCAGACGGGGTCACCAGTTTGCATCACCACTTCGGTTCCCACCCAGGACTTCGCAACAGTCTCTGTTTCTAGCAAACAGCTTCTTTCCAGCTCCGTTCCCAGCGGGGCACATCAAAATGGCTTTTGAGAAAAAAAAAAAAAAAACCTAAGTTAAAAATATCCCCTTCCACTTGCCTGCTCCTCACTTATTAGAACAGTGCCTCAGGCAGCAGGGGTGTCACTGGCAGTTCTATTTGTGATGGGTCTGGAAGAGTTGGTATGTTTATGAATATTTACACCTCCAAGAGGAGACTAGACTGCTGTTAAGTAGAATTCTTTTTAATTCTTCAAATCTTTTCTCATGATGTTGAAAGTGCTGTGGACCATAGAAAAGTCAAGGGGGGAGCACAGAGGAAAAGGAAGAGGGACCCCAGTGTGAGTTCCCCAAAGCCGGCACCACAGGCCCCCAGACGCCAGAGGGGGAAGGAGGGGGCTGGGTGAGGTGCTGGCCGAGGACCCCTGGTCTGAGGTCTTCCCTCAGCTTTCTTTTCATCTGATGCTTTCCGGTGTTGGATTAAACATTCTCCGTGTCAGAAGCCCTTAGCAGAGGACAGGGGTGGGGGAGGAGGGAGGCTCGTTCCTGCGCGAGCAGGGCAGGAGGCAGGGAGGCCACTGCCCAAGTGTCAAGTGGAAAGAGCACTATTAGGATGTGATGTTCTTAGGCAGCAGTGACTCTGGAATTGAATGATCCACCTTTCTCAGGATGTCAGGAATGAACTACTGCTTCCTACTTGTCTCCACACGCAGGCACTGTCTTCTTCCAAGGCGCTTGAACATTTACATTTTTGGAAAAATGTCAGAGGTACGACCTGGTGCAAAGTACATCTGGTGCCCTGCTCTTGGTTTCCCCAGAGTCTAAGGAAGTTGCTTGAGAGCAGACAGCAAGTCGGAACACAAGGGTGGAGCGCTTCCAGAGTCATCTCCAGGAGAGGCCTTGGGCTGCTTCTCCAAAGTGTGACTGTGACAGAAGCCTCGGCTCTGGTTCCTCTGGTCCTGCTGCAGAGCAGGGGTGACTGCCTTCCCTCCAGTCCCCTCCATCAGGGGAGCATCTTGACATTCTTCGCTGCAGGAGCAGCCCCCAGAGACAGCCAGGGACTTGGCTTGCCTCCTGCTCGGCTGCGAGGCCATGGAAGCAGGTGACTGTCGAGCCATTACTGTCCCTGATTTGCAAGTTCCTCTGCAAAGGAGCCTTCCCTTGGCGGGCTGGCTGCCATTAGGAGGATGTCTATCAGTAGGCAGCCGTGTGCTCATCTCTCAGCTAATTTAGAGAAGCCCAGAGTAAATGCCTCTATCACATTCTAGAACATGCAGAAATCACAGAATGTGCCTTGTTCAGAAAATGCGGTTGGTGCCCGATTAGAGGCAATGTTTTAGACTGGGGAAAGGAGGAAATGGCAGAGACCAGCCCACAGAGCCCAGCCCTCCAGTGGGGAGGCTGTCTTGTGCCCTGGCCAAGCTCTGGGACCCTGAGTCCTTGTGGCCCACTGTCAATTATAGAGCAAGTGACTCCACACTTCTGCCCCGTGAGGAACCTGCTGCTTTTCTGAGCAGCTGCCACCCCGTCTCGGGGATCCAACCCAGTAGCCACTAGGTTTTAGGAAGGAATGAAGCCATCTGTGACTGTCCCTCTGAAGGAGGTGGGTCCTTTGTTCATTCAGTGAACATTTACTAAGGTCCTGCTGGAAGGCTTGACCTTAGGAAGAACCAACCACTGTGTAGAGCAGATGCACATGGGAGATGCTGGGCAGACAATCAGAATCCCACCTTTCAGTTCAGTTCAGTCGCTCAGTCGTGTCCAACTCTTTGCAACCCCATGAATCGCAGAACGCCAGGCCTCCCTGTCCATCACCAACTCCCGGAGTTTACTCAAACTCATGTCCAACGAGTCGGTGATGCCATCCAGCCATCTCATCCTCTGTCATCCCCTTCTCCTCCTGCCCCCAATCCCTCCCAGCATCAGGGTCTTTTCCAATGAGTCAACTCTTCGCATGAGGTGGCCAAAGTATTGGAGTTTCAGCTTCAACATCAGTCCTTCCAATGAACAC